ATATTGCTAAAAGCGACTTAAAACTATATTCACATACTCACGTTCATCAAACCCTAAACGGACGGGCAAAAGAAAGTATTCAACCATGTTTGCTGGTGGCCATGAAACAAACGAGAAAAGGTTGTTTGATGGTGATGCATTTGATGCAGGAATCATAGGCGATATTACTTGCATGATATCAATGAGTATCTCAGAAAAGGCGACTGTTTCTTGCCAAGTAATTTATTGGTCAAATCCAATTTTCAAGCGAATACTTTCTTTTGCCCGTCAGTTTGGTATGATATTTGGGACGAGGATGGGATTTGAACATATGGGCTCCTGGCTCTAGACGAATATGGCTGTTCACAGTAAGTTGCATCTTCGACGATCGAGGGTAATATATCTCCATTCTACTATGATAAATACATGGACCCATTCGTTAATAAAGCTTTGTTTCGCTCGTCACGCCGAAGACCCGGGCTCGATTCCCGACATGGGTACAATGTGTGAAGCCAATTTCTGGTGTCCCCCGCCGTGATATTGCTGGAATATTTCTAAAAGCGCGTAAAAACCATACTCACTCATGTTTAGCACGTGTACAATGAATCTATCCACATTTTTGCCCCAAGTTACCTAATCAACAATGAGATAGCGTTATACACAATTTTAAAACAGGAATTATATAGAGATTCTCAACCGAGTGTCTTTTGGTTCCAAAAATATGACCATTTTTAAACATTTTATAACATTTTTAAATTCCGGCAAGCCTCGGGATTTTTAGATGTTATCGACTCGTGTTGATATATGGATGTCAAAAGGGAGGGTTCTATTTATCATCCAACACTATTCTTCAAACTTTGTAAAGAGTAACAAGCAGAGACTTTAGTGTAGAAAGTACTACTAACCAGCTTCAGTAATAGAGAGATTAGTGATGTAATTTGATTGTTACGTCATGGTAACCGATGATGTCACAATGGTCCGAATATCTCATTGTGATGCAATTTGTATTGCAGCGATATCTCCAAGAAAAGATTGCTTGATGTCTTCCAAGCAAAATCAATGGAGGCCAGTTTGGATGATAAGTGAACCATTAACCTTGTCGGAATTTTATAAATGAACAAAGTATACATCCATCATCACTTGTAATAGATATTATTGCAATAAGCTTTGATCAAGCTGTCACATTTTATTTCTACGAATACAGTGTTAAGCAAAACCGTGTAAAAGCTATAGAAAAGTAAACTAATTTTTTTTATTAGGGACATGCTTTGGTGATATTGAGAACACAATCGCCTATAGTTCTTTTATCTCCGAAAATACACGGAGAAATACAGTGATAGTGATACGTCATCACACGCGTTTTTCCTATGGGAAGTCAATGCCTATTCTGCAGAACGTACATTCAATAGGCCTCGTGTGCCGTCAGAATGGCTTTTTCGACACAAGCTGCACCGCAGGTTTCCACAGTGAACATATTTCTAACAAATATACCTGTAAAGTTGTAAATAATATTCCAATAAGCAAGGTAACATTTGTCAAAAAGCTAAAAAGACACGTTTACTTGACACCCTGCAAACATACGTGCCAATGTCAATTAGCACAACTCACAGCAAGGCAAACCTTACACCCGTGCCCACCCGGGACACCTCACCCACCCCTTCTAGGTGAGAACGCAGTTGTGGTTGGTGTTTGTTGACTTGAACTGCTTGTTCGGGTGCTCCTTGTGACTAACCACCCCCACCCCAACCCCAACCCCTACCTCTACACGCACAAACCCCACACGCACCGGCGACCTATCCCACCACCGCCCAAGCCCCCACCCACCAACCCGCCATTTTTAACCGTTTTCCAACGCAAACTTTAATTAACAACCGAGCCCACTGCATATACAGTTGGATGGGGACATAGAGAGCGAATGCGTGCGCAAATTGACCACAAAATCTGTATAATTTTATAAATTAAAAAACCTGAACAAATCGTTATGTTACCAGTTATCAGATGTGTTCGAGTCGATAAGACTAAATGCATGTGTCTACTAAACCAAAGGCTGAGGTATGTCCCGAAAAGAGATGAGGTGAGGTGAAATTGGGTTTAACGTCCCGTCCAAGATTATGCCGATTTATAGTGCTAGCTCACTGAGATACCATGCCGCAGTTTAACATGAATACCCCACTCAGACACAGTATACTGACTCCGAGCCGACCAGTCCTTGCTTTAGCCTCTTAATGCCGAGCGTCTGACAGGGTGACAACAAGTACATCTTTAAACGTCTTTTGGTATGACGCGGCCGGGGATCGAAATCCGGACCTTCCGCTCTCCGGGCGGACGCTCTACCTCTAGACCACGGAGGCGGTCCCCGAAAAGAGAGGTTTTCAGGAAACGTTTTTCTCATATTTGAACATGAGCATGACTCATCCAAGTAGAATTATGGGAAAATTGAGCCATAAAGCTCTGTAGTCTTATCTGCAAATATCCTGGAATATTATATTAGATCAGAATTTTGTTTTGTTTGTTTGTTTGTTGTTTAACGTCGCACTCAGCAATATTCCAACTAAATGATCTGCAAAGAATCTAATCTGGACCAGACAATCCAGTGATTGACATAATGAGCATCGATCTACGCCATTGGGACACGATGATATGCGTCAACCAGATATAAGTCAGCCAGCCTGACCACCCGATCCCATTTGTCGCCTCTTACGACAAGCATAGTCGCCTTTTACAGCAAGCATGGGATGCTGAAGTCCTTATTCTACCTCGGATCTTCACGCGTCTATTATATCAGAGAGATCACGATGTTAAAGAAGAATAAGTACAAGAAATGACAGACATGTCCACACAGCAAATATATATATGCTACGAGAATATTTGCTGTGTATATATATATTTTTTAAAAAATAAAATAACATCCTCATCACGACTGCCCCAACACTGTTGGCAGCCACAGTGGTACATGTTATATCACACAGCCTATTGTAACATGTGCTATTGGGCATACAACATGATTGCTGTAAATCTATATCAAATTTCATAAGTAAATGTGGAAATATCTGATTAATGAGCAAAAATGTGTATATGTATAAGTTAATATGTATGCTACGGAGGCCATAATTATAATCGGATCGGAATTCTATCATCAGATACAAGACTCATGTATTTCGTTGGAGAATGAACTGTGATATGCTTTCGTTATTTCAATAGCCCAACTGATATGGACACAATTATATATTTTTATATATTAGTATTTGTTTCTCGTGAGATTATGACCATGTATCGAAAATAATGTTTTTGTTTGGTTCATAAAAAAGGGACGATGTTACAAACGTTATATTTGGGATAATACTCTCTGAGTAAAGTACAGATTCTCGTACTTTGTGGGTTGAGTCCCGTCCGGAATTCGAACCCACACTACCAGAGTGAGGCACCTAATCGCCAGCACACAAAGTCAGCGAACTAACCCACTCAGCCACCGATGACTCGCCCAACAAATATAAGGAAGTTGGTGCATTGAAATTGCAGAATGCTATTGTCTGTGATATGCTATTGTCATGAGGCTTTATAACACTGTCGCGTTACTGCAACGCTCAGATTTCTGTACATTAAAACAACCAAAATAGAAAATAAAAAGATTGTTGAACAGTACGTACATGTTCTTCCTAGAGTCTTCTTGAACATATACCAAATGTATTTTCGTCCTATTTTAAAATGCGCATCTGAAGTTTGAACTGGTTGTTTTGTAGAATTAACTAAAAGACTAGAAATGTTACAGTTAGACGCATGAAGATCGCTACAGGTTTTCCAAAATGTACTTCTAAATCTAGTTTACTTTAATAAACAGGATGGATGCCTTTAAATATTAGACCCAGACAGAAAAAAAGCTTTTGACAATCTACAAAATTATTAACAATGTTCCAGATTATCTTCATGTTCTAATTCCATTAAAAAATGAAACGTTTACTGATTATAACCTCCGAAACCAATTAAATCTTTCTATCTCTAGATATATAACAATACTCTGCAAAAATACTTCCTTTATGACAGTGGTTACATGGGTATGTGGAACAAACGACGGTCAGTTGTTGGTTTGTTGGTTTGTTGTTTAACGACCCAATCAGCAATATTCCAGCTATGTGACGGCGGTCTGTAAATAATCGAGTATGGACCAGACAATACAGTGACTAATATCATGAGCATCGATCCAGGCAATTAGGTCGATGGCATGCATCAACCAAGTCAGCGAGCCTGACCACCCGATCCCGTTAGTCGCCTCTTACGACAAGCATAGTCGCCTATTACGGCAAGCATGGGTTGCTGAAGACCTATTCTTCCCCGGATCTTCACGGGTCGCAAGTCAGTGGTAACAAGCGAGTTCTTTGAAAGAAAGAAATCTTGACGAAAGTCAAGCATGCATACAGACACAGTGACCCTAAAGCTCCAGGCAAAATTATTGAAATTCATATCTGTAATTGTGGTCGAGACTCTGAAAGTGTTTTACACTATGTCCTCGAATGGCGTATTTACATTAGATGCCGTAGATTACTGTTACATAATTTTTCCAAATTTTCATAAGATTTGACCCAAACTCAGATGACAATGTCAAAGAAATTCATTTGTAAAGTTGTACATAATTATATACTGTCGACTAAAAGATTACCAACCCATGCTTTTGTGTCCAGTTATGTTTGATGTAAAAAGTTGTCTGCCTGTATTGGTATACCAATATATCTGTACTTTAAAAAAAAGGAAAGGTTCGAGTATGCTCCTGGCTATTTTCCAATCCTATTGTCAATAAAATAGCTTTGAATCAATAATGGCTATACCGAGGTTATAATATTCCATTTGTGTAAATGGAATGTATTTTAGCAAATATTGTCTTTTATAAATTAATAAGTATTTATTAGTGCTACAACATCATCGGCTATCTGGAAGTTCGAAGTCGTATATAAAGAAATTGATTAAAATCTATCAGGTACTGCAAGATAAAAGATGAGTGATAACAGAGAAACAATCAAAACACCTACCTCAATGCTTGCTTCAACAAAAGTCTGTGTGAGGTAGTTGACAAATACGTTCTTAGCAGAAAGAGTCAACAACAAATTGACCATCCCGATTTAGGGTAACCCCTTATACCCCAAACTTGGGCAGGTGTTGGGACAATGGCACACTTCAGTTGCAACTCGAGAAGATCCAATTGAGGAATTTTCTATTTCAAATGCTATCTTAAGCACTTCAAGATTTTATCACATTAAGGGAGACACAAACTGAATAAAGGGGTTCTGCGACTAAAGACAAGCTAAGTGAAAATTAAATTGAATTATCCTAAAATCGGCTCCATTTTTGATCGAACTATCAAACGGTAGGGTCAGTTGACGTTTCAGTCAGTCACGTGACTAGTTAATTAAAGACGAGTGCTGGAATGACAGGTGAAGTGTCACGTGACAGCTCTCTGATATTTGATAACGTTGGAATTTGTTTTAATATCTCTCAGATAACGCCAGTTTGGGGAAAAGATCTGAGGAATGACTATTCCACTACCCAATGATGCGTCCTGTGCAGTTGAGGGTTATGAGCTAAGCGCTTAGAATAGCCTTTCTGTATACAAAGCTTACCAACAGGAGTTGAGGGGAAGTGAAATGAAGTTTTACATGTACTCATATACGTGTGCGTGCGTGCGCGCGCGTGAGTGTCTGCTTGTACTAGCCCCGACTAATGTCGCCTCGATAGTGCTGACCGCCTCCGTGGTCTAGTGGTAGAGCGTCCGCCCGGAGAGCGGAAGGTCCGGGGTTCGATCCCCGGCCGCGTCATACCAAAAGACGTTAAAAGATGATACTTGTTGTTACCCTGTCTGGCGCTCGGCATTAAGGGAATAAAACAAGGACCGGTCGGCTCGGAGTCAGTATACTGTGTCTGAGTGGGGTATTCATGTTAAACTGCGGCATGGTATCTCAGTGAGCTAGCACTATAAATCGGCATCAGTCCAGACTAGTACAAGCAGCCACAAACACACACGTGCATGCACGCAGCTATATAAGTGTAATAATCTTGGACGGGACGTTAAACCCAATTTCACCTCACCTCACCCCACCTCCATAGTGCTAGTCCAATGAGATGCTAGTACCATGCCGCAGTTTTAACATAAATACCCCATTCCAACACACTATACTGACACTGAGCCCTCCAATCCTTGTTTTATCGTCTTAATGTCAAGCGTCAGACAGGGGAACCCGAGACCCCTTGAGACCCGAGACCCGTGGAGACCCGAGACCCGTGGAGATCCGGGGAAGAAAAGGTCTTCAGGAACCAATTCTTGCCGTAAAAGGCGTCTCTGCTTGTCGTAAGAGGCGACTAAGGGGATCGGGTGGTCAGGCTGGCTGCCTTGGTTGATGCATATCATCGTATTCCAATTGCGTGGATCGATGCTCATTATGTCAATCACTGGATTGTCTGGTCCAGACTCGATTATTTACAGACCACCGTCATTGCTAGGGTTCAAACCATCGATCTCCCGCTCGCAGGGCAGACGCTCCATCCACTAGGCCATGTTGTGTGTGTGTGGCTGCTTGTACTAGTCAAGATTAATACCGATATAATTGTGCTAGCTCACTGAAATACCATGCCGCAGTTTAACATGAATACCCCACTCAGACACAGTGTGCTTGCTCCAAGCGGATCAGTCCTTGTTTTAGTCCCTTAATGCCTATAGCGACATGAAGAGTTATGGAATCAAAACAGTTGTCATCAATATATGGAAGTCCACCCGGACCATACTTTTACACCCGACGGAGACATATTCTGCCGCAAGCGTAGATGTGTGTTGTGCTATAAAGATTGTGTTCGAAATAGCTGTGTCTCACCGTTAGCCGTGGCAGTGTCTCACCGTTAGCCGTGGCAGTGTCTCACCGTTAGCCGTGGCAAGCAAAATCGAGTGAGTGAGTGAGTGAGTGAGTGAGTTGGGTTTAGCGTCGCTTTTAACAGTATTCCAGTTATATCACTGCGTGTCAGCTTAATGTGGGAGGAAAGCCCGAAGTGATGATGCAGGTCTCAGACGTTTACAACTTTGGTGAAACCCACGAGCACCGGTATAGTGCTGACAAACCTAGAAACGTAATCGGGGCGAACCGGGATTCGAACCAACAATCACAGGTTTCTGGCGTGCCCAAGGGACGCAACTCTGCACAGCGGATCGCGGCGCCTTAGAAGTCTGTTTTAAAATATAGGAGTTGCGACAGACGTAGCTCTATGGCTACCGTAAGTCTGTGTTAAAATATGGGAGTTACGACAGACACAGTACTACGGCTACCGTAAATCTACGTTGAGGTATGGGAGTTACGACAGACGTTGCACAACGGCTACACAAAAGCTGGCGTAAACCGCATCCTCGATCCTTACACGCCAGTAACAAAATCACGCCTGGAACGCTTTCCGTTTGTAAGGTAGGAAAATCAACACGAGAGTTATCTCCCGTGGCAGGTGCTCTGAGCAGACGACGAAGCGCAGTAAAATGGAGGACGTTTGCGAAAAAAAATCTTTCGGCCACAGAAGTAGAAATTCCTACTGAAGAAATCGGCAGCTATTCTGACGTGTTGTTTTCCAACATCGTGCATTACGAACAATCGAAAGAAGAAGATATGCGAGGACTTTGTGACAAAGTGAGTGCATTTTTCGGGCATTGAACCCGCATCTTCCATATGATAAGCCTTTGCCGTTTAGAGTTATCGCGCTTCTTCATATGCGGAAGTAAACAAATATCGATACAGGTTACTTGCAAGGCCAATACTCCTTTCATAGTGTAATATTTGAAAATGCAAATATATTTTGACATTGCCAGGGGTACATATCTGATAAATTCAAAGCGCACACATGCAATAATATTTTAGAAGTCCAAGAGGTCATACTGCCAATATTCTCGCCACATTATGAAACGAGTGAAATGTAGACATTAGGTACCCAGGACGTTCTACACACATATTCAAATTGATCTTGCGATATCCTGGGCCCAGTTTCACAAAGTGATTGGAGCGCTACTCCTATACCTTAACATAGGCTTGCGGCAGTCGTAGTGTTACGATCGCTTTGTGATACGGGGCCCTGGCTCACCAAAACTGACCAAGATGACGACGCAATCTGTGACTCTATATGCCTGAAATGGTTCTGTCTGGGTGGTATTGAAAAAGTCATATCACCGATTCGAGTATTGGCAGTATGTAAGCATAGGATATTCGATAGTCGTGAAACTAAAACCACCTTCTAGAACGAGGCCCAGAAAATACGGGCTTTCATAGGGGTTATATTTGTCCCACTAAAAATCTGAAACTTGGGGATAATCTTTAAACACGCTATTAAACTTGATGTAACGGTAAAATGTGTGCTAACAAGTATTTGTTTCTTATAGAAACGTGTAAGATTTAGACAGACAACTGAAAGGGTTGGGGGTTTTTAAACTTAAAAAGAAGTGAAAATTATATGAATGGATCACTCAAAATCAGTGACGACACCAGGTATTCGCTATTTCAGTCCCTTTATGACTTGTTATTGAGGCAAGTAATTATTTCGGTTTTCTTTTACCGAGATTGTTTGGTATTCAAGTGATTCAAGCGTGCTTTCGTTTCGTATTCCCCACATGGTTACAATTTGCGAAGTCTATTCGTAGTGTCCCAACCCTTGAAGTGACTGGAATATTGCTGCAAACGACGTAAACCCATCCATACTCACTATCTACGGTCTTAATTTCACATCTCAAAATGATTACTAATTTTGTATGGAACATATCTTGAGTTTTTGTTTATCGGACAGGCTTGTTTCCTTGTTAATCCATCCTCGGAACCCAGGTGTGTATGTCCCCTGCTGTTCTGCTAACGTAAGAGGTGATCAACTACATTTCGCTGTGTTCTACAACATGTCTTCAGCCACGAGGAAAGTTTGGGTGAAATGAGGTTTAACGTCGTATTCAAGACGTGCATGCACGTGTGTGTGGCTGTTTGTACTTGTCCGGCCTAATGCCGGTTTGAGTAGTTTTAGCATAGCTCGCATCGGCAATATAGAGTGATAGCCCACTGAATCACCATGCCGCAGTTTAACATTGATACCCCACTCAGACATCGTATGCTGACTCCGAGCTGACCAGACCTAGGTTTTAGCCCCTTAATGCCAGCGCCAGGCAGGGTAACAACAAGTACCATCTCTTCCCTGGTACATGTTCATGCATGTGCTATTGATATTTAAGTCTTTCACTTTGTACAAGTATTAACCTACATAGAGTGAGGTCAAACTATAACGGTGTATATGGACAAACGTGACGTGAACATTGTATGACTATAATTGTGTTGATGGACAAACGTGACGTGAACCTTGTTTGACTATAATGGTGTATATGGACAAACGTGACGTGAACCTTGTTTGACTATAATGGTGTATATGGACAAACGTGACGTGAACTTTGTTTGACTATAATGGTGTATATGGACAAACGTGACGTGAACCTTGTTTGACTATAATGGTGTATATGGACAAACGTGACGTGAACCTTGTTTGACTATAATGGTGTATATGGACAAACGTGACCAGAACATTGTTTGACTATAATGGTGTATATGGACAAACGTGACGTGAACCTTGTTTGACTATAATGGTGTATATGGACAAACGTGACGTGAACCTTGTTTGACTATAATGGTGTATATGGACAAACGTGACGTGAACTTTGTTTGACTATAATGGTGTATATGGACAAACGTGACGTGAACCTTGTTTGACTATAATGGTGTATATGGACAAACGTGACGTGAACCTTGTTTGACTATAATGGTGTATATGGACAAACGTGACGTGAACCTTGTTTGACTATAATGGTGTATATGGACAAACGTGACCAGAACCTTGTTTGACTATAATGGTGTATATGGACAAACGTGACGTGAACCTTGTTTGACTATAATGGTGTATATGGACAAACGTGACCAGAACATTGTTTGACTATAATGGTGTATATGGACAAACGTGACCAGAACATTGTTTGACTATAATGGTGTATATGGACAAACGTGACGTGAACTTTGTTTGACTATAATGGTGTATATGGACAAACGTGACGTGAACTTTGTTTGACTATAAT